GGATGGGGAAAAAAGGCAATTTACGCGAAACTGCAAAAAACTTAATTAAAGAGAGTATTATATATACCGAAAAAGAAGAAAAAAAAAAACCCCACGTGGTTCCGGTACCTTGGGGAGGGGAGTCATTTAATCACACGCGGGTTATCGTTGACTCCCCCTGTTTCGCGATGACTAATTTGGAAATAATTCGGGCCATCATCCTGTCTCGCTCCTACCGTTGTTTGAGCGTATTTGGCTTTGCTGGTTTTTCACCTCGCGGATGCATCATGTGGAATCAACGTGGAAATTCATGCCGATCGATTGTGCTTCACTGAATCAGTACTCGTTGTCGATTACCTTTTTTCATTTACACGTATTGTAATATTAAACCTTGCAAAACCGAACCCCAACTCGCGCAAAACCTCTGCCAGCTACTTTACTTCCTTTTCCATGAGTATAAAAGTATAGGCACTCTGCGTGTATATTTCAAATGCTTCGTTCCGCCAAGGTTTTCCCGAGTTAAGAATTGAAAAACTGAGGCAGCGCGCGCTTCTGATTTTTTTTTTTTGGCCTCACTTTTGACTCATGGGGAAAATAAAATAGCCAAACGCAAAAGCACGCCAGTCTGTTGATGCAACCATTTCAAGAGTCGGTGTATATACACGCGCATTATGAAAATTTCAAGTGCCTCCTAGAGTATAACCAAAGTGACGCGGACGTGCTCCTTTGAACGTTTAAACATCGAGGCCCCGCGCTCTCGGGCAATTTTTTTAAACGAGCACCAACTGCTATGCAAATACAATTTTTTTTGTTCCCGTAATTAGAGCCACATGGTATACGTATTAAGGCTCGGGGTAAAATATTCGTCAATTAAATTACTCGCTCCACGGGGGGGCCAGCAGGGAGTAATAATATTCGACGCTGCGGCCGACGTCGAGTGCGTGATAAATCTCGGGACACACGCCGGAAAGGCATATAACCAACCAACCTGCAGGTCTAAGGGATTTTCCTGCATAATCCCACCGTGTAACAAGTTCGCAAAACCGCTAATGGCCTACTTTTGCGCGCGTCCATGCTCACACTCGAACCGTAAATCTGCATGACTAATAGCCCTCCGAGCGCGGATCTAATGATTTATCCAATCAGATGTGATTTAACTCGGCGTACCATTACTTCCTTTTTTTTCCCCCAAATCAAAAAACCGAGTCGCTTATAAATAAATGAGGCCTGGAGGTTTTGGGTGGAAGGGGCTTGGGCGAAAAAAAGGGTCTTTTTTTACCCAAAACTACCGAATGGGTATATAATCCCAAAACCAGAACGAGAGAGGGAAAAGGAAAAAAGGAGTACGTCAGCACCGATAAGCATTCCGGCGCGTCCTCGAAAGTCGCATCTCTCCCTCCTCGCGGTCCTAAAAAGCCGCGGTCGGGCTAATGGCACTCGCGCGGTAAGTATACACCGCACCCGTGCCAAAAGAGAATTTTCAGACTTTCAAATTCGATCCCAACTTGGCTTGCGCGTATACACCCGCTCCCCAAAGATGCGACCTTGCGTATACACGTGCCACCGGCATCGGATCTCTTTCAGGGGGTCTCGGTTACTTATTCACCCCGTCCTCGCTCTCAAAGACGCGACTGCAGAGCGGGAGAGAGGGAGTTTATCTCGGGACGGCGCGGGGCATGACGACTCATTTTTCTTCCTCGAAGCTTCGACGTATAAGTACCCCCCTTTCCACGTGCACGGCGTTTTTTTCGCGGATCAGTTTTTAACAATGGCCCGTAATAATGTACGCGAGCGTCCATTGGATTTGTCGGGAGGTCGGCGTGTGCCCGGCCGAGCCTTTTATTGGGGACGAAATCAATTTTAAATTTGGCCGATTTCAATTTGGTTAAGAAAACCAAAGGGGGCCGGATCGATGGGGCTGATTGAATTATGCATGCGCTCCTTGCCCAGCTCTCTTTGTCCTGCACCCCCGTGCGTGGCTCGAAAAGAAAGTAACGATAGCTCGGGATAAAAGGGTCAGAAATCCCATTTAATGACGTCAGGGGTGGGGGGAGCTGATTAAGGTCCCCTGGATCCGAATAACTTTCCTAGAGCTCCTCCTCCCCGCGATCCCTTTACTTCCTTTCTTGTCGATGGGAGCAATTCGGCGCGGTGAAAGATACGTCGATCCCCTGGAACCTCCTCCCCCACCCCCCCCCCCAACTGCGGCTCCATTGTGTATGGGCGAGCCCGCCTATTATAAGTTTCGAGGAGCCCGAGATAAGCTGTAACTATAGGGGAAAAGTTTTTTTTTTTTTTTTTCCAAGCCACCAATGCATGAAACTGTGCCGGGCTTCCGTTTTCCTTTACTTTCATTTTTATTGGGTTATGAGCGCACCGTGCACTAATGACTGCGTGAATAATACAGGTCCCCTTGTATTTGTTGCGATGTTGGAGGGGTCATTGTTGTCGTTGGCTTGAAATGTTTCAGACCAAGGTTTTTTTTATTCATTTTTCAAAAAACATAAAACAACGCAGCTTTCGCAATAACCCAAATTATCGATTAATTTTAACAACTCCACGGAAGCTTTGGAGAAGGGGGAAAAAAAAGAGAAAGAAAAACTGCTGGTGGTATGGAAAGAGAACGAATCGATAACTCAATACGCGCTAACACGGTTTTTTAATCAACTGCGAGAGGGGGCGGTCAAAATGCAGGGCTGACAGACGTCCGGTGGCTTTGAATTACCCATTACTTTGCGGAAAAAATGGAGGAAAAAAAGAACAGCCGACACACTGCAGGAACGCAAAAAAATTGTCGAAAAAAGAGTGTCAGCATCAATTAAGAGTAATGAAATGAAAAAAAAAAAAAAAACGAGGGAGGCCGAAAGAACTTTATTAAACGCCGGCTGGCGAGCTTGGACTTTCCAAATGGTTATTTTATCATCTCGCTTCCGGTGCGAAACGCGGAAAGGTGATTTAAAAGAAAAAAAAAATAATAACAATAAAGTAATAATAGTGCCTCCAAGTTTGCATGGAATTTATGTGCTGTTCTATCACGAGACCAGCATGCGTAGATTTTTTTTTTGGTTTCAGCTTGCAATTATATTCGATCGGAAGACGGCGCGCTTTGATGAATTATAAAAAACACATCTCAGCTCGTTAGGTTTTGGCATGAGTACTCTTTCTGTAACTGTGGTCAAAGGAAAGATACTTTTTCACTTCGTTCTCCTTTTAAGTGGTGAGGCGTGTTTTTAAGGGAGAGCAAGCGTAGCACTTTGACAAAACAGCGCCTCCAACCTACCCCAGGCAAAATTTGGCCACTTATCTGAAAACTCATTAGGATCGAGCACGAGGTGTACGTAATAACGCCACTGGAGACACCGAACGCACATTGCCCGCGGCAGCGAAAGAAAGAAAACCCCATACGAGCACCACACCAAAATGAAACGACCGCGTGCGAGCGACTGACTGTCCAAAGTGCCCCGTGTTTGTGTTGCGCGAATATAATAGCCACCGCTGTCCGGTGTTATTTCGAATTGTCATACGCGACCGCGGGCGCTTTCTCGGTAGTCCCACGATCTTATCTGTCCCGGCTGTACTCCCACAGGTTCAGCTGTTACAACCGCAGTACCTGGTATTTTTTTGCTATGGACAGCTATGGACAGCGTCCGCCATGACGAAACTTTGCCGCTTTACCCCATGAAACTTAATTCAGTCGCACAATACGGGGTCTTTTGCGGAACAAAAAAGAGGGTAATCACGTTGAGACTCTTACTGACGGAAACAAAAAAAAATACCCACACAGTCCCACGCACTCGAGGGGAATGCACTTTTTTTTTGTCTCCCCCCTACAGTCACACACAAAGCCCAGTCGAGTACGAAGTTGCGCGTGTACACGGCAGCGTGTGAAGCTAACTCGACGAGCCTAATTTTAACGTCGTTGAGCGCGAAAATTAACCGAGTCAAAGAGAGCGACTACCATATAAATGTAGGCGGTAGCATTAACGAGAGAGTATACACACACTCGGGGTGAGGGAGGCTTGAAACACCACAGCGTTCCCCAGTAGGCGCGGTTGGTCGTGTTATTCCGGGACGAGTTTTATGTTTGCCCCCACACGCCCAGGGGCCACATTAGATTTTGAATCGCTAATATGATCACCGTCTGCGTTAACAACGCGAGTTGCGAGGGCAGAAGTAGTAACAGCCGAGTACGGTCAGACGCGCGCCGAACGAATCCCCTTTTACTTGTGAGATTTTAGAGTTGAACCGAATCGAAACTGCGAGGGAGCAGCGATCGGCAAACATTCGCTCTACCGGCTGGAGCGAATACAGTTGTTGTTGTCCAGGGTGGGGCGTGTTTGGACAAAGTTCCACCGAGCGAATGCAAATAACGGACCTGTGTATGGTTGACGGGCGATCGGTCGGTTCTACTGGGCACGTGTGCTTGCCCGGCCCCGAGGAATCGAAATAGTTCCTTCGTGAGCGTGAGTGTCGGAGCGAGAATCTGGAGGAGACGCGGGAGCTTGGAAAGTTGGGCGTTGACTGGTGGGGCGGGAAGGGGCAAGGACGCGTGTATCTTCCTGTGATGAGTGGGTCACTCGTGATACGCCGATAATTCGATACTATCGTATCTACTGGAGACTACGATGAGATTGGTTTATTGATGCGTTTTCGATGAAGAATTTATTTTTTTTTGTGAAAAATGTGTGCAAATACAAACGCACCAGAGAGGAGGTTTGAATTATCGTTCGATAAGATAAAGCTACCCTTGGTGCATAATCATATAGATAAATACTGCTCATTTCCATGTTCTTAATCATCTTTCAATCAAGTTTTTAGCTGAAATGATCCTCTCAGATAAAAAGTACTCAGTGGTTTGGTGCTATAAAGTATGTAACTTTGGATTATTGGCATTCATGCATATATATATATGCGCTTTGATGTACTTATAAAAAGAAACAAATTTTTGCTCAGAATGTATGGTTCGTAGTCTCTCTAACAGAGATTTGTACGTATTGCAAAACAAGATGAAAAGCAAATCATGTGATTATCTTGGATTTTTATTTTTCATTAAATCTGTATTCTTTATAAAATAGTTCATATTGACGTGATGTAATAATCATCACGTTTATATTTGCAAAAATGACACATGATGATGTACGTAGTAAAGTATCCTGAAAATCATCAGTCGAAAATCTTCTTCACGTAGATAATTATATTCAGTAAAGTATGCGTAGTATACAAAATGTATTAAATTCAATGCTATGCACTACACAGCAGCAGTATTAGAAACACTAAAGGTTATAATTACCAGAAAAAAGTACATCTACAAGTGTTACATGTTATGGGACACAAAACTAAATACATATTTACAAAATTATGTACAAGTATATATAAATCAGCAACATTTTTCGTTGAAAATAATACTTTGTTAATGATCGTGAAATCTTGCTTGTTTTTCGACGTATTAACTGGATTTTACCAAAACAGATTTGTTTTCCGGAATGGATGCCGACAAATCCATCTTCATGGGCGTGATAACGGCCTTCAGAATGGCGGTGGTCTGTTGTGGCGCCTAAAAATCAAATGTCATTATAATACATCCGTCAATGAAGAGTAAAAAACAATTTTCCATCATATTTTACACTGATTGTAAAAAATAAAACATTACCTCATCCTCGCCAGCCTCCACCTCTTGCAAAATATCATCGAGCTTGGAAACAAACAGATTGGCATTTTCCATGCTGAAAACCATGGGTGGCTTGAGCTTGAGGATATTGTAGTCCGGGCCCTCGCTGCTCACAATAATCTTCTCCTCCTTCATGCGGTAAACGACGTACTTGGCCTCGGCAGTGGCAGGGGTCCGCTTGTTGCGATCGAGCACCAGTTCGATGCCAACGAACAGCCCAGCGCCACGCACGTCGCCAATAATGCCTCGGCGCTTGGCCAGTTTGCGTAACTCTGTCATCAGGTGGTTACCGACTTCAAGGGCGTGTTGCCGAAGATTTTCGCGCTCGATGACTTCCATCACGGCATTGGCTATGGCGCACGAGACTGGATTACCGCCGTACTGGAAATGCAATTTTCTTTTTTTTTCTTTTTTTTTAACAAAAGTCGCCCGAGGCCATACATCTCGTTCTTCGTATAGACCGCCTTTATTACTATCCGAAGATTCACGCCATTTTTTATATCTATGAGACTGATGAGTGTTGATACCTACATCGACACTTGCATCGCTTATTCAAGCAAAAAAAAAAAAACAATCTCGAAAGTCTAAATACGTGTGCATTACATATATAATATTGAACGGCAACAAATCTAATTATCGCATCGCGTACAGTATTGCGTGCTGAGTATCTGTGATACAGGAGATTTCAAAACATTTGTATCCGCGATCCTTACTCGTGGAAAGTATCTCAAATTTTATTTTTGGTGGGTCGACATCCGTTTTTATTACTTCAATCTGTTTGCAAATTATGCATTGTAGCAAAAAAAGTCATACATTTTTCAGTGGGAATAGCTAATATTGTGTAAACTTTACTCTGTAAGCCATTACCAAATTGTGTATGTTGATGGATATTTTTAATTCGTATGATTGGCATTTTGCCATAGCAAAACGAGATGTTTATTTATTTTATATAGAAAAATCATGATTTCCAAAGGCTTTTCACGATATTACAATTTTGCTTTATAGTACAAATTCCAATTACGTAACGAGAGCAGCACGGCTGTAACCAAATCCGACGAGCGCTGTACACGTTTGTTTTCAATTAAAATTTTACCCAATTCACCAAGTAACTACAAATATCGGGTGAACTTTCGTATGGGCAATAAATCGTACATTGGCTTCTGGATGGTATTGTATTCTGGCTAATGAATGAACGGTTCAACGATCAGACAAGAAAAAAAAAAAAAATGTATCAAATTACCGTGTTAAAGTACTCGATGCCAGTGTCGCGAAAGCTTCTCGCGATCTCTTGGGTAGTGATGACTGCAGCCACGGGGTGGCCGTTGCCCATGGGTTTGCCAACCGTGACGATGTCGGGTACAATGTCCTCGCCGTAGAGCTGGAAGGCCCACATGTGGCTGCCCACACGGCCAAAGCCCACCTGCACTTCGTCGGCGATGCAGACGCCACCGGCGGCTCGTACGTGTCTGTTTTTGATAGAGACGACGTTTTAAAAGTTTGCCAATTACACGTTTATTTATTCATTTTTTTTTTTTTTTTTCCACAAGACTCATAAGGCAAATCGTTTTGAAAACTACACTCAATACTTTGATTATTACAACCCGATGTTACGTAAATTAAATGATAATACTATAGCTCTAAGAAACTCATGAAATTGAAAGCAACAAATGAATCTTTTAATCAACTTTTCTAAAATTAGCATTTCAAAGTATGCAAAAGGGAAAATTTTGATGGTACAATCGTTTGTAGCCAATTGAATAACACACAACACCGCAATTGTTTATTTCAATTTACGATGCAAAGTTTAGGGTGTCCTTGTATCTAAATTTACATTTTTATGTGCTAACGCATAAATAAAAAAAATAAAAAAACAGTCAAGTTATTTCAGCTTTAAGTGGACTATTGAGTAACCAGAAACAAAAAAAAACTTTTTTTTTTATGTAACCTCCCGAATATTCAAATAAACATTCAAGACTCACTTGTAGACGTTTTTGAAATAATTTTCCGGCGGCAAAATCTGACCGCCGACGGACATAAGACTCTCGGCTATGAAAGCGCTAACACCGCGGCCTTGAGCCGTCACGCTGTCGCAAATCTCTTTGACGTCTCCAGCGTACAAAACACCAAGATCCTCGTCAGGGTGAACGTCGTCGCGGTATTTTCCACGATAGACATCCGGACATGCCGCCTATATCACCAGATATACACATTGAGGGTTCAAGTCATCGCGTCTCTCTCTCAATGATCTTGTCGCCGGGAAGAGATGGAATAAATACTCTGTTGCCCGCCTCTTCGGGCGAACGCGTCAATTCAACTAATAGCTCTCATTTGATTAAACACGATTCGATTTGCAGTGGAATATTTCGCGCGTACAAGTATTTATGGGAGTTAATCAAGTACTGTAGGCGGCATTTAAGAATACTTTCCGTCTCTTCCAAAGCCGCGTGTTTCATCGTGGACTTAATCATCCCGACGATTCGCAATTGATTGAACGATTAATAAGTTACTCACCACGTGGACGTGCTCTTTCTTTCCGTCCTTCATGTGGGAGAATTTGTAGGGCGATATATCGATCATCGATGTCAAGTGTCCGTGATACGCACTAGAATCATAAGGAAAAAGAATACGATTAGATATCGTTCGACTGGCAATCACGGAATTACCACTGAAATGAACAACAAGGATGCGTAATAAGGAAAAACTGTAACTGAAAGTTCAATTAATCTGCCTGAAAGTTGGGTGCAAAAATATAAATAATCAACGTCATCCACTGTAAAAAATCAATTTGTTTTTTCATTAAATCGAAAATAAATTAGATTCTTCGGTTCAGCTATCAAATTTTTTAATGAAACAATCTTACCAAAATCGTCTAATAATGATGTTTGAATCCATAAACATCACTATTATTGTTAGCGATAATAATTTTTTAAAAAAGCAAGAGTGCAAGTTTGTATTTTTTTTTTTTTTTTCAATAACTATACAAATGTCAAAAATGTTGTGATCGAATTATGTTCATAATGAAAAGAAAAATCTAATTGATTTGCTCGACAGAAATTCTCATTGAAAGCACAGTGAAAAATGGTCGATATTATTTTCAGAAACATATTGTACGCAAAAACGGTCAGTGTGTTCATACATCACATACGTCATCATCCAGAGTGTCACCTAAAATGACATTAGCATTTATTATCGAAGACGATTGGCTTGCACGGTCGTGCGATTTTTGTCGCATCTTCGCTCGAGAACAATATTGTCGTGAGTTCCATTTTTCGTCAGAATGTTTCGATACTATGTCCTTTCGACGATATTTTTATTTAATGACTCCGATCATGCTGCAAACAAGAAAAAACGAGACCGTCTGGATTAATAAGAGCCGACCCTTTCAATTACCAAGTAAGTCTTCTAAAAGAAATACATCAGATACAATAATTAATTGTTTGCCTCTTTTAAGCACTCGAGGAATGTGGAACCAGAGAAACATCCGATGGCAACAGCCTTCCTCGAAACGGTCATTTATTCTGTCAATCTGATTTTCACATTTTCTACAGGCATTGCATTATCTTACAAATAAGATACAAGTATATTTTTTATAAAGCAGCACGTTTTGGCATGGCTACGTGTATATTTTCCTTCTTTGGAAAATCATGGGGGAACAAAAAAAACAAAAATAAATTTAAAGCGTATACATATGTGTATATCTCCAATGATCGAGCTCATGAAAATAAAATGCGACACCAAAGCCCAGGGTGGAAGAAAAAAAAGTAAGCTTTTTTGAAAAAAGTCGTCTTTTTGGAAAGACGGTAGTTTTTCCAACTACGAGATGCAACGTGAAAAAAAAAGAAAAAAAAATTAAGCCGAAACCTGGTCAAGGAGCAAATAACAGAAAGCATCAGCGTCAGAGTTGAGAGTCCGCAGGCACGGGTAACGACGCGTACGTGACGCGCTTACATTCCTGGGGAGAAACTTTTTGCCAAGGTATTCGCGGGAGTAAGAACGAAGAAAAGCCTCAAGCTCGGACATTGCGAGGAAAAAAAGCTTGCTGGTCGTGTTTTTCATGCGTTGCGGGGATTATGCAAGCTTAGATCTTTCGCATTAGCTGTGTACCAAATTTGTTTTTTTCTTTCCTCGTGCTCATCTCTGCAGTTGATAATGATCCAACAAAAGTCGACTCAACTATATGCGAGAAGATGCAATTTACCATGTGACAAGCTTAAAAATTAAAAAAAAAAAAAAAAAAAAAAATTGCGTTTTAAGGGTAATACAATCGGAGAGTATACTATAAGACACTTACTGATCGAGGGTGATAATGTCTTTGTTGCCGGTGTGGGTGTTGGCAAGACGAAGAGCCAAATCGTTGGCTTCGCTGCCGGAATTGACGAGGAAGCAAACGGACAACTTCTCGGGCAGGGTCGAGGTGAGACGTTGAGCGCAGATGACGATGTTGTCGTGCAGAAAACGCATGTTGGTCGAAAGCAGGGACATTTGCTCTTGACCGGCTCGCACGACGTCCGGGTGACAGTGACCCACTGTAATTTGCAAGAAAAAAAAAAAAAAAGTATTGAAAATTTTATAAAATTATTGTACGCGGGATTGTTAAAGGATCGTATCCCTTTTTTTGGGGCCTTATCGGCCGAGAAAACATGTGACTGGAAAACATTAGTGGAAGCACCTTTGAACTAGAGAAAAAAAAACTTCTTTTACAGTAAGAACGATTTTCTTCAACACATACTACAAGTATCTCAATGAAAAATGTATGAGTAAAAAAAAAAGGGTTTTCCAGTTAATCACAACATCATGAATGCAGGTAAAAAAAAATAACAATGGGAAAATCCTTACCATGAGCAACGTTGTTGATGCAGTCGAGGTACTCATCGCCTCTTTCGTCGAACATGTACTGGCCTTTGGCTCTCACGATTTTCAGAGGGTTCGACTTGTAAAACAGGGTGCACGACTCTCTGAGGACACAAAAAAAAATGTAATTTTAAGCTATAACTATACGAGCTACTTCAGGAATCAAAATTTTGCTTGGATATTCTATAAATCGTCGGTTGGCAAAAAATTAATATTTTTAACTATTGAAATTCAACTTTAATTAATATAGGTATTTCCGTAAAAGCATACCCAGGCATCGAATTTTTCAATCATGCCGCTAGCTATCGTTTTTCTTGGTTTGCATGTTCACGAAAATTTTAATGAATCGAAAACTACTTATTTCACATTCAATGATAAAACTTGCGTCAGACAATATTATTAACGCTAGTTGGTATGGATGCAGATTTGAAAATAATCTCTTATAAATAGCACATTTTATAATCTGTATCTAATCTCAAAACTGAATGCTGCAAAAATATTCATATTGCGGAATGTATTTTGCTAACATATACACGTACTTTTCGCTATAATTAGTTTCTTATCAAAGCCAGTTTGCGTCCTTATCACTATCTATGCGTTAGCGTCATCTAAATTTACGTACCTGTAAAATCATGTTTAGCAATAATATAAGGAACATTGAAAATTTTCCTAAACTTTTTTTTTTATTGCAATCACAATAAACCAAATTAATCTTGATAATGTATTATTTTTTCTGATTGATCTCAATGAAGATGATAACGGTAAAGTACCCAATAAATCAAATGAAAAAATAAAAATGATGAAAAAGCATCTAAACGATATGCACGAATACCCTTGTGGATTTATCTGATAACGTACACGCGTATTTTTCGAGGCCAAGCCTATTCACGAAATAACCGGTGCACTTCTGCCTGCGCGTGTATATATACGTAATATCGTAATGTGGGACTGGGGTCGATCAGTCGTGTAGAAAATGAGGGAGCGAGATTGCAGGAGTTAAGCAATTGTACTTCGTTGGGGCTCGTTCTAGTTTTACTACTGGATATGTCGAGCGTAATACTGAAATCTAATGGATTGTGATTGATTTTGGCTAAAGGCTGGTCAGGCGTATTTTTCCAAATTGTGTTCTAACATTCTATAATTCAAACATATTAGTGAATACGAGCTCATATAAATTAAATAGAAACCTTTTTTTATTTTGAAATTTTTTTTTTAAGATAAAAAAAATTATTCAAAACATTTTTTAACAAACTCTGTCACTTTAAAATCTTAAACTATGTAACATGTTCCCAAACATGTGTAAAATATATTACTTTTTGAAACCCTGAAAATTTTCATTAAAAAACTGTATAGTTTGAAAAAAAAATTTTTTTTTTTTAATCAGCCAAAAAATCCAAAACCCTATTTAGTATCCATTGAATGTAAATACTTTTAAAAAATTTAAGTTTTAAAGAAATATCACACACGTGTATTTCGTATTCACAAATTTCCTTATATTTCTGGAGACTTGTACAAGATAACAGTCTTTGTTACAAGGAAATTAGTTTAAAAATATTCATTGCAATTTTAAGCGCTTAACTGGATTGCAATTACTCAGAAAATGAACAATGAAGTGCAAAAGTTTTATCACCGGTTGGAGATTAATAGTGTAACCTCTAATGACGCAGCGATAAGGACAGCTTTATCATTACAGTAATACAAACAAACTTACCCGATGAATTTTTGTCTCAATTTGATGGTTTCATTTTTCGGCATGTGCTCCAAAGACTCGGCCATTTTAGTAGTTGGTTGATCAAAATATCTGAAATAAAGAAACGAAAATTCATAACTTGCAATGACATCCGTGAAAATTTTAAGTGATATTTATCTGCTTATTTCCTGTTACAGAAGTAAAAATAATAACTAGAGATAATCTTTGACACAATTTTTTTTTTTTTTTTTTTTTCGAATGAAAATAGAACAGCTCAATAGTTAAGATACGAGACGTGCGCCTTTTTTCTTATCGCTCGCGAGGCGCTTCTCTTTATTTCCCTCAACAAAAATAGTCTCATTAGATGATTTAAAAAAAAAAATAAAAAAAATACAATCCATTGAAATACCGCCCACATTTGCCGTGCAATATCTTATCAGACAGCTGATGCCGGCTAAACAAAAGTAGTTCACGGATTGGCACGGCAATAGTGCGCAAATCGAATTGAAAATTTCCTGACGCAAAGACGAGCCGTTGATAGTAACGATCAACAAGATCATTTGCGAAAATCAATTATAAATATATTTATACTTTTTTTACGAAATTCCTGTATTTTTTTTTACACAAAATTCATATAAAACATGATATTATGAAACTTTTACTACTGATTTCAAACAGCCACACGTTTTCCGCGCTCACGAGGAAAGGGGCAGCGCGTGACCTTGACCCGCAATGAAATCAATAGCCGAGCCGAGCCCCGAAAGACCTTGTGCTTGAGTCTCTCCACAAACTACAGCGATTTGGAAGTCTTCCAAATATCATTAGAACGCAAATGTTGTTGATTTTTGTTTTGTTCTCATTTATTGTCAAAATAAAGTATTTGAAAATTTTACTTTGTGTTTCGAAACGAAAAAAAAGTGGAGGTGGAGGGTATATAAACTTCAACAAGGGTTTCGTACGCACCAGAAGAGGAAACGACGACGCGAAAGCCCGCTCTCGCCCAAGCCTCGGCAAAGTAGAACAAGAAGAGCCCAGTCGGACGACCGACCCTCGGAAGTGCAGTAATCTCCTCGGCGGCGGACTTACGGCGAATGAATGACCAGCGGGTCAGCGTAGATCCAAAACGGGCGTGTCACGACCCACTCGCCGTGACGTCGCTCGTATATTATATATATACAATACACGCTAAGTCTCCGTAAGCCTGGCCCGCGCTCTATTATACAACTCCCCGATCTGCCGTTGATATTTTATATATTATAGTTGAAAGCCGCGCCGAAAAGGAGCGCGAGAAGAGGGAGTACACGCTGCTGCACATATATACATCTATATATTATGTACCCATACTATCTGCCGATGCGCGCGCAACTACCCTCTCTCATCCCTTCCCGTGTAAGTATGTATATACATTTTTGGAGAGTGTACAACACCACCCCCCCGGTCTTCCTCTGGAACCCCTCTGACTTTCGTTCCCCTTCTCCAGACCTAGTGGAATTTTCCCCGTAAGCTTTGTCGAGACTCGTCTGCATTTTTAATTGTCCGACCGACGCTTTCCGGCAGTTGACGAGTGCCGTGATTCCAAAACGCCAGAAGGCCAAAGTCGGATTCACCTCCAACGGAGCTTTTCCATGTCATCGTGCATTTTTTTTTTTCTTTCGCTCGTTTTCCAAACTTACTTTACAAATTAACTTGTGCAACAGGTAATTGCCGATTGTCGGCGTACAGAATGAACACTTTCCACGAACTTGAGCCGATTGTTCGTTGTTAGGGTGAAACTATGTCTTTTGCATCAAGTGTGTCATCGGATGTGGCGCTGATTTATAAGTATGAGTGAAGAGAATGGCTTGTCGGTTAAACTTTTCCACAGTGGCTGAAAGTTTCCAGATCGGCATTCATCGGTTCACTTCCATTATCAGTGTGTACCTATGCAGTATCGATCTGCGATTTAATCACATTGCCGTGATATGAATAAAATTATACAATTCACTTGATCATACGTTTGTCTTTGAAAAATCGATACGATTTCCATGATTGTTCGGATATAGAGAAACACATGTATGACCGGTAATTTTGACGAAACGTTGAAAAACACAATCTGACCGATGGAAGCAAAAAAATTAGAGGGGCAAGGGGACAATGCATACATATTTGGATCTCATTGAGTCGTTTCCATACGCAACAACACACCACGCTTCGAACCCCATACAGTTCTTGAGGAAGCTGCTCTCTACCGAACAAACTATGACAGGCTGATGTAGATAAAGTACCATATCAATGTTGTTTTCAACATTATCCGTATCAATTGATCTATGCGCCATCGCGTGCTTGGATTTATTCAAGGCACGTATTGACAAAAAAAAAAAAAAAAAAAAAAACAAAGAAAATTAATACACAAAACAAAAGTTGTAAGTAAAATAAAACCGAAAGAAGAAANAAAAAAAAAAAAAAAAAAAATCGATTGATCACAGATGACGCAAAATCGCTGAACCAATCTAAAAGGAACGGCCTCCAAAAATCGTCCGGCACATCTCGACTCGTCAGATCTCCAAGAGGCGTTTTATCAGCATAATTACCAGCACAACAACGAATTTCATGCATTGCAACCCCGTCGTATCCTAATATAAATTGCATATGCACGTTATATAAATGTACTTCAATGCGCAGACAATGTGTGTGCACGTGCGCCTATGCCGTATCGCCTCCTCCTACTCCCACGGCACGTGCGCTCAGCGAGTTGTCAGCGCTTCTCTCGTGCTCGAGCTGACTTTTATCGTCAACCCGCTCCTGCATGGATATACTCGTGATGCATGTGTGCGCGATGACACACGTACGCTGCCTCTCGGCGACCCGAGAGCAGCTTCTTCTTTCCGGATGATGCGTTATACCTGGGATATGTTCGCGGGGTGTAATGTATGTTCTGAGCTGAGGTAGTTGTCGGGAAGACGGATCGCGGGTGCTTGAGGCTGTCGAGCAGCCCATTTTTTAGGACGAAATCTGCTCTTACCCCTGAAAATAAAGGTTTACAAAGGGAGTCTTAATTTTTCATCTCGAGATTATTGTTGCGAGAGAAAATTGGTCACGTGCAAGGCGTTGAAGCGTCAGGAGAGGAACAAAAAGTCCTCGGTTGTCAGTCTCCGACTGGCGGCCGATCCGAAAATGTTGACGCAAAGCCATCATCGGCTGTTGAGGCCGTTCATCCGCGTCTTTATAACTTTTTTTTCCCCCCGTTATCACCGGTCACGATAATTTATCGCGGCCTCGGAAAATTTATTTCCATCCGCGGGCGAAGGAAAAAACGCACACGTACGCGAGGGGATCACCGCGACAGGCTCTCAGGTGTTTTCGCGAGCGGCTAATCCGCCGATTTACGTAAGCTCCTCCTCGCGAGCTCGTCCGTCGCGGTGGCCAAGGTGTGCAAGCTCCGACGTATACGTAGCAGCTGTTGGGTTATTTTTAGCGGCTATTTTTTCCCTCGCGACTCGTAACGCCGAGGTGACTCTTGTTCTTTGAGATTATTGTTATGAATTATGATCATGGTTATTTTTTTTTTTTTTTTTTTTTTTCGTTGCGCTTATCGTGGCAACAACACGCGGAACCAAGAAAAATCGAGGGGCCTCGCTTTTATTGCCGATGCGTGTAGTTAACAAACGCATAAAAAAGTCTCGAGTCGAAAATAACCGATTGTGCAACGACACTTGGCATTGTCGGCGAGATAAAAATGCCAGGTGAAATTTCAGCGCCTCTGACGCACCATACAAATTACTTATCATCTTTTTTCCCAAAAGCAAAGCATTAAAATTTTGTTTTTCCCCCAATCGAAATCGCGCGTCTTGTTCCGTTCACGAGGGATTCACGCGAATTATTAGCACGAGAAATACAAGCTGTGTTTCCTCGTCGCTGTTGAACAAAGTAACAAAGCAAGAGTCGAGTGCTCTCCCGCGTCAAATTTTATCAATTTTTGTTGCAGCTATCGTATAGAGATGCGTAAGTATGGGCAAATCGCTATCGAAATTATTGCGCACGCACGACGCTCGGTTGTACAGCGGGATCGTCTGGGCGCCATCGCAAATTAATCGGGGTAAGCTCCCGCGGCAAACAAGACATTCAAGCGCTCGCTTCCTTACAACCGATAAGAAACGGCGCCAACAAAAAATCCACAGTTGCAGATTTAGAACGCGATAACGCGGGGGCAGGGGGGGGGAGATCGGTAAGCTCGCTTTGTTTGTATACCTCGTTTAGTAAAAAATTTAATGTTATCGATAGTTCGTGATGAGGAAAAAAAAGGCTACATTCGCGTAAAATTATCATATCAGTCAACAACAACATTGAAAAAAAAAAAAAAAAAAAAAAAAAAAATCGTATGATGACATTAGTTGCATTGATTATGTGAAATCGTATCTCAAAACGTATGTACGCTCGAGAGCCGTCAATTTTTTTTAATCAATGACAAGTGTTATTAAGTATTATAAATGGGCATGACGATAACATCGATCGTTAATTAAGTATACAATGGGGCAACACACTCGGGTGTCATGAAATGAGAAACAAAAAAGAAAAAAACACGATCAAACGGAAAGTTTCGGTCGAGCCTCTCGTGCAGAATGAAACGCTCCAATTTATTTCACTCGCCGTATGGGGTAAAAAAGAAAATAAAATCGGCACTCCGTGTGCATGCATGTAAGCACAGAAACGACAAACAATGTAAGTAACAAAGAAAAAAAAAAAAAAAAAAAGGGTGATGATCAAGAAAACCAAAGCCAAAAATAAAAAAAAAACTGAAACAATGACAACGAGCACCTCATCCAGCCCCGAAACAAACCGGTCAGCCACGACGCGAGCATCATTCGAGCGCGCTTATCTCCCGATGGCTTACTACTTACTTTAGCACCTGCAATAAATGCGAACGAGAGAGAAGCGCGAAAAAAGGAGGGGGGAGGGAGCGCGAAATTTTCCTAAAGAGGCCCGTGACCGCGGCACGTGAACACGACGGCTTGGCTAACGCGCGCGGCACGTGACCGTCGACGCGTGTGCAGGCGGTTTGTATAGAAAGCCTCTCCGTGTATTTCTCTTGGCTCGATTTATATGGGACGCGGGAAGGAGGAAATGCACATACTTAATTATTTACAATACACCCGAGTGCGCTTGTTATCAGTCGTTTCAGTTTGCTTTCGATTCGAATGGCTTTGGCACTTTCCACGACTATAAGCGTCAAGTATTGAATTAATAAACGCGCGGTTGGCGCGTGTCGACCCGTTGATCACACAACGCGTAGGACAAACAAAAATACACAGAGACCGATAAATCGATGAAAAATAGAGCTTTTTGCTACGTACCTGTATTATGTATTATCTATAGTTGATACATGTATAATGTGTGATGATAAAATTCGATGACATCTTCCGTTTCAATTCCGTGAACGACTCGTCGACTCAGTATAAACTAAGAAAAAAAAAAAAAATTTTCTCCTTGTGCGTGGTACTCGCGATTCTCAAAATCTCAAGCATGTAAATATAGTATACTTATTACTGGCTCAGCTGAGTTTCGACTGATGCAAAGCACCAAAAGCTTAGCTGCTCGCCGTTGGCCCATTTGCAACATATTAACTTATTATATACACATTGCAATGTATAGGTGAGACGAAAGAGCAAAAGGTGGAGGAAGATGCGGGGGAGGGGCTGTTTATTATAAATCACGGACAAACAGTACCGTTAGTGTGCGGGTGAGGTGCCAAAACGATGATTTCAATAGGATGTTATAATTTGATGAGTGACATTTTTTCAAACATTTAAGGATCGCTGAGAGCTAGTTAAGTACTTGAAATTGATTTTTGTTTACATGATCACCAGGCATAATGTTGCAACTGAAGAACAAAAAATTACTGAGCTTTCATTTGGATTCCTCAGTTCAGTCAATAATCAGGCCCAACTTGGGATGTGGCGTTTTTACTCGGCAAAATCATGTGCAATTTTATTTTACTACTTCTTACTCCTTACTCTTTATTGTTGTACAATTGCAGATACGTGGATGGGATTTTATTTATAAAATTTTGTGTGTCATTTTCCGCTATGAGTATCGTAAATTAATGCTAAACCGACGGAATAGTCTGATTTAAATTCCACCAGTTCACATCCACATGAATATTTTGAATTCGATAACGTATGAAAATTATTCATAAGAAAAAAAAAAGAACAATACCTG